CCTAATATAACTCCAATATAACCCCAATACAACCCTAATAGTATATATCTCCCCAAGAACGGGGTCTACATGAGCCTGGAAGGTGCAGCTGCCTTCTGGCATTGGTAGCCAGGGCTGGAAACCCGTACAGCTCCCAAACAAGCACGCTAATGCCAGGGGGTCCTCTTGCAGAGTTGAGGGTTAAGGGTCTGTTAATCTTCCTGGAAGTTACGGGCTGTTTTATGAAGATTCTATGGAGATTGTATGGGGAGTTTGTAGTCATGCTACCTCGCTACATAGCAAGAATTCAGCACAGGTGAGGGTCCGTACACTGTCTCTGAGCTACCAACTTGCTGAGGAATGTTGTGTGGGCATGGGGTTGTGTGTGGCAATCTGCTACTTGTATGTTTCATCGAGTCAGATTCGGTCAGGATCTGTCAGGAACCTATGTCCTACATGGCAGCTGCATTCGCATGACAGGTGTGATAGGGAGACTGGGTCTATAAGACTGCGTGCTTCGATCCCAAGATTGGGTGATACATGAATGCAGGCACTTCTTCATGCTGGTATCCAGTTTGGGACTCGAGGATCCAAGCCAAAGTATTGCAGTTTAGAGGTGTGCATGCATTGGGAAGCAACGTGTGTTGCCGCCTTTGGCGGCAGCGACCCCCAAAGCCGCTGACATGGAAATTCATTGGCGGGAGCGCGATTTCGAGCCAAGTTGTGAGGGGGCTCCATGCGGCAGTCGCGCACCAGCGCCCATCCTGATTCAATTACCCGGTACCCCGAGTGCAAGGTTCCCATAGTACTAGCATGCTGCTTGTGGAACAGAAATCCACAACAAGCAAAGAAAAGCAGCAGCGGACAGCATCGAAAGCGTGGGTAGCATCGAAAGCAAGGCCTAGTCCTGTCGGCCAAGGATCCTCAACCCTCGGTTCAGGACGATGCTGCGCGTTTGCAGCAGGCTACGCAGATGCTGCAGGCCTGGTGCGGGTAGGGCTCATAGGTTTCGGCTCCATGTCAACCCATACCGCAAAGCTATGATATTAGTCAGCCATGATACTTCGTGATGATGATAACGAGGACTATCGTACAATTTCATACATCAATCTCATTCTGTTGACAACTTGCACAAATTTGACGTTGAGAACGCTCACCGCGTTGGCAGCAATCATGGTGCTAACGTTGCCGGTGATACAGAGAATGCTGCAATGGCCGCATGAATAGATGACGAGTGGAAATGTTCCTATGACTTTGAGGCTGTTTGGGGCATTGCCTGGGGCACTTGTAGCATCATGGCGCTGGTATGCCTGTTGTTAAGGTATGCCGTGTCGTGACCGTATTGGTAACTTCATAAACTGTTGGACGGGCCGGGTAAGCCTTGCGGTAAGCTTTGTCTGCAGCAGCATGTTCACACCTACAGGCTCGCAAGCTTTGCCGCCCTGGTCTGTGAAATGGTCTTAGCAGTCATACTTGCGTGCCAACGGTACGAGCCAGCAGTGCCAGTGAACCTGCAACACCTACGACATGCCGCATTCTGCAGCACAAGACCCTGATTGCATGCAGGCTGCCTTGGCCAACTGGGAGGTGCTCCTGCTTTTCCGCTTGAATGCCGTGGGAATGCTACATGATAGTCGCACGTTGCTTTAGTACGAAGCATCTACAGCTCGAATAGGGTTTTCTGAAAACAATCAAGTTTTGTGCGGCGCCTTTGTCCTCAAGCCTAGTACTTTTGGCGTGAACCAATTCACAAACATGACTGTGTGCATTGGGCTCGGACTTCTCCCAGGAGTTGCTCCATTTGTTTCGTTGGATTCCTTTTGGGTAGCATGCTGCAGCCTTTGCACCGACCCCCTGCTGGGTCGGAAGTTCTAGATTTCAACAGCGTCTCAATTGGAACATGAGCCAGAAAACTGTACATGTGGCCATTCATCGGACTTCAAAAGGTGTTCGAGTGCAAACCCAGAGCTCTAATCTGCTGAGAAACACCGAATCTGAAAAATGTCGCACCCGCTGAATACCAACAGCTTGAAAGGATCTTCAGAACAACGCCTGTAAGATGCTGAACATGGATGTCACTAACCATGTGAGCTTGTGTGGCAAATGAGCCAAGCGGTTAGCTGCAAAACGGGTTGGAAAGGTCGCTGTGAATGAAGTAAGTGCAGTAGATTTGGCCTTTGGCCATTATCAGCCCTTTTTTTGTCATGAAAGAGGCGACTTCTTGGCAACCCCTTGCAGGTTGCCGCAATTTGTTCGTCCTTCGTTTGGGATGTAGCTGAGGATTGTAGTACATATGTTGGGGTTTCCATTGGGGCCTCTACGTACGGAAGCAACCCTAAACCCTAAAACCTAAACCCTAAACAGTAGTTTCCATTTTATTTTCCACTACCCCCATATATCCCCAATAGAACCCCAATATAAGCAACCCTAAACCAACAATAGTAGTTTCAATTTGTATTTTGCATTATCCCTGTACAATGCCAATATCAAACAACCCTAAACCCTACACCCTAAATCCTAAACTCTAAAGCCTAAACCCTAAATCCCAAACCCTAAACCCTGTAGATCCATGCCATGGCTGTGCAGGCTTGTGTGCAGGGAAGCCCTGCCGTGGCCCTCTCAGCTCACATGAGCTATAGTCTAAACTCCTTCAAGGGGGGTTATTTAGGGGATAATATAGGGTTTAGGGTCTAAACTCCTTAAAGGGGATCATACAGGGGATTATTTAGGGGACTACTATAGGGGTTATTAATGGGGAGGAGTTTAGAATACGGTTCAGATGGCCTTCCTCACAGCTTTGACCAGCCGGTCTACTTGCGAGTTAGGGTGCCCATTGATCATGTAGTCATCCTGGCAATAGATAACCACAGTTGTTCCTATCCTTTAACCGGAAACTACTTCACCCAAGCCTCTAAGCAGGGTATAGTCCTCCATTAAGTATATAGAATATGGGGTATATGGGGATCTTGTTATAATCTACCCAAAGCCATATTCTATCTAAGTGGTATTTCGGGAAGATACCCTTGTTCAAACTAGTGATTGAAATAACCAGATAACGATACATTTCAGGACGACATTTGAAAACGTCCGAGAACATGGGGCCTTTAGCTCAACCCGCAGTGCCTGAGGCTTTGCGCAACATGGACTCCATGGCATCCCTGGCAAGTGGGTTTGAATCCTGCTGTGCGAGACTCTTTCCTCAGTAACTGGTGGTACCGACAGCAGCAATAACCAGAGAGTTAGCCGACTGAAGCACTACATGATGTGTCCTTGCCTTCTTTGTTGTAGAGCCGTTAGTTTTATAAAGCAGCAATTCAACCTGTGGACGGAGCCAATCTCGATGCTGCAGACGGCTTTCACTAAGCTTGATTGCATGAGGTGTGACTAGAAGTAGTTGTTCCTTGGTGTCCTGCGTTTAGAACACCAGTTTTGCTGCATGCACAAAATATAGCTAGAGCCAACGGCAGTCATGGTCTTGAAGAGAGGATGCTTCATTGGTGGGTGATCTGGCTCAAGCTGCGCAAAAGGCCCAATTAACCGAAAAGTCAACCGTTGACATCGCATCTCAGACAAGCATGCACGCATACAAGGGCCTCACTAAGTGGGTTCATGTATCTCCACCGGTCATGCGCCCGTGTTGAGTAAGACCCAAACTGCATCTGGTACGGCTGCATCAGCAAGACCAAGCACGCTTACGAGTTGTTATGAAGGTTACCTTTCCAAAAGGTACAATCATGTTAGTGGGAAGGGCAGCACTACTTCGCCACTTGTTCAACAAAAACGAGCCCGGGCAAAGCTTCAGCAAGACGATTGCAAGACAACCTTAGTCTAGCCAGCCATGATGAGAGCATCTTTCGAACAACTTCGATGAGGCCACTGCAGGAAGAGATGATCACAAGATGAAAATTGACTGTATTAGGTGTCATTCTGTACCAACCACATTCATTTGAGTCTAGTAATGGCGAGACCGGTTGTCAACAGGAGAATCTTTATCGTGACTGTAGCGGTTATTCTGGTAGTAATTGTGCCCTGGAGTAGGTTGTGTAAGGCTTCAGCTGGTCTAGCTTTGGAAGCCAGTCGTTTCTATCAGGAGTACATAAGGCTTAAGGAATACTACCCCAGCAATGGAGAATCAAATTGGAAAAGAACATGGAACTTCTGTATTTTTCTCCGAGTTTGAGTGCACCGTTTATGTGGGCTTTACTCAGCTGAGGCATTCTGTTTTGATTTTGTTCATTGCATACAGAAGACCTGCCATTGTTGTAGACACGTCCAAGCATGTTGGTAACTGCAACTATTGCCCAGCGAGCACATTCAACTTTCTGCGGCTGTGAGAGTATTTCGCAACAAAGGTATGCCAACAGACCAACACATCCTGGACTCTAGGAACAAGAGCTGGTTCAGGAAAAGTAGACAAGCTCCAAGCTCCAGGAGCCATGCGGGTGCTGAACTGTCTTTGGTGCATGCCTGAGCTTGTGTTTGCACGGTACCAACTATACTGATGTTCCAAGGGTTTTGAAGACTTGACCCATTGATGATCATATGTGGGTTCCTGGGATAGATTGGGACAACGAGAGGAATAAGGGAGCTGCCAACCCTAGCGTGTGTCCAGGCTGTCCACTGCAGCAAAGTGGAAATGATGTCGTGCTTTTGTTTGAGGGAGTGTCCAACGAGAAGCACCAACTAACGACGTCATGCATTGAGCCGCAAGTGCTGCCCTGCGAAAACGGCTTCAAAGCATTTCATTTCTGCCTGAGTTTGTGATTTGAGGCTGCCCCTTGCTGCCTCGCAGGTGCAGACGAATTGGGGTGTTTCGATACGGCAGGCTTTGATTTTGATATTACGACTTATGCTTATAAGACTTATTATAAGAGTCTTTCATGGCTACTTCTAGGAGTTCTAGCATGTTGTGACGCAAAAGAATCCTCAAACATTATCCCGGATACTATGCTGCAAAAGCGCCTCCATGTTGGTAGCATTGGGGGATGGAAGAAGTTGAATACAGGCAATGACCTAACGGCAGACTTGAAAGGAGAGATTGAAGGGTTTAAGTGCATGCCTGCGGTTCTTGTCCGCTTTCCAAGCCTATATAGCCAAAGCCCCAGACCTCATATCCTGACAATTCCTGACATCTCCCTAGACCCTTCATCTACCCTCTATATACCGGAAAGTAGAGACCATATGCCCCTACAAGGGGGGTCCTGGTCCAGTCTGATGGCAGACCTAAAGGCTGTAAAGCCTGTGGTCTCCTCAAATATTACGGGTGAGTTTTTAAGGTTGGTAGGTTGGTTCTCCAGAGCGCGCCCCCTCGCACTCCCAGGTGCAGCTTTTGTTCTTTTTTCCTCGGGATCTTCCTGCCCTCCGCGTTCTGGAGGTGTATCTTGTCTTGGAATCTTGAAAATGCTGGAGGTGACAGTGACTTTTCGACCCCACTGGGTGCACGTCTTACCCGGAAGCTCGGAGCCCAGCTGGTTGCGTTCTTCAGAATTGCTTAGCAACTTCACCAACCATCAACCCTAACCCCACCATTCCTGTATGATACGTAGCAACAAGCTGACGCTACACCCACACCAAAGCCCAAGCCTGATTTGTTTGAGGTGTGCTATGACCAAATTGTCCAGTCAAATCGGGGGAGGGAATATATGGGAGGTTCCCCAAAAGTATTCAATGTATTATAGGGGCCTACATCATTGCCAATGTCACTTTGGGGTCTATTGGAGGTATTCCATGCCATAGTTGTACAATGAAACTACAGCATAATGTAGGTCGTTTTAAGGTCCGAACTGTAGCTCTATTCGTTTCTCTGATTTGGGGCTTGGGGCAAACTGCCCTATTTGCAGCCCCGAGCCGGCTGCCGAAAATCATCCGTTGGACTATTAGAATTTTGTCATTGTTTCCAAAAAAAGGTTCAGAATTCTAATCATGTTAGTATTCCTGTTATTAATTCTGTGTAAGAAACGAAAGCTCCCTCTGAAGCTTTTTGGTAATTTTGAGGCCAGCCATGCTGATCTGTGTCCTATGGGGGTGTGGGAAAAACGGTCTAATTTGGCTGCGTTTCAAGGCCAGATGCCACCACAGAAGGGTTTTTGGGTGGTGTCCTGTTGTTCCATGGTCACGTAACCGGCCATTGAGGAGGGGTGGCTGGAGGCTATCAAGCTACGAGAGGTGTGCTAGGCCAGCCATAAACCATGCAATCTTCAGGGATCACAGGGCATCAGCGTTTTCAAGTCTTGTCAAGCTTGACGGTAACCCTCATACAACCTTAGTTGATAGAAGTGGACCTGGGTCAACAACTTTCTTTGCTACTGTGTTGCTGTTGTTGAGGCTGCCACTACTTCCACTGCTTCTGCTGCTTGTACGACTACCATTCCACAAACCACGGAAAGACCATCAGGACCTGTGGAGCAAGCGCTGGTCGTCGATGTCCTCGCACCGCAGGCGCTTTACAACTATTAGAATTCCTGAAGTGTTAGCACTGGTGCCACTTGGAGTAATGATGAGACGATCTCTTTCAATTGTCATGTTGCTTTGTCGTATTTATGGTTAGCATATGGATCATCAGTGTGGCCATCGCCAAAGTTGCGGAGACGCATGAACATGCCCTGCATTGCTCACCATCAGCATGGTGATGAACAGCATCCTGCTCTAGTGAAGACCATTCCTTTACAAAGCTCAACTTGGTTTTGTGTTGGGAGTTCTCAGAGCTCTGACCCATTTTGGCTGGTACCTTTAACATATTCTCGACGTGTTTCGCAACGCCGCAAGGCAACCGGTGAACCTCCACCCCAGGACGCTGGTGCCTTTGAATATTCGGGATCTTGTGTGTGTGTGTGTAGTGTCAATCAAGTCGGGGATGCCCTCATTTTGTATATATGTAGAGATAGACGACGCCCCTGGCAGATGATAGGCCCCTACCAATATTATATCCCAAGCCAATGGCGACGCGCGCAATGTGCTGCATGAACACCGAAAGTCGAGAAACCGAATGTCAATGGGATACCCTCAGAAGAATCTAACCTTGTACAAGCGCACAAGAAAGAGATTGTCATAACAGTCTCGACACCCTGGGGCTCCATATCTATAAATAATACCTACATTGGGCCCCAATGTCTATAAATAACACCTACATTGGGCCCAAATATCTATAAATAATACCTAAACCCTAAGCCCTAAACCCTAAAACCCTAAACCCTACATTGGGCTATTTGGGGCCCTAGGGACAAAGTCCCTGTAGCCAGGAGCTCGCCTTGCTTGTGGACGTATCTCTGTCCATGGCGGAGGGAGGAAAGCTTGAACTGGCAAAGGTCGGGGTAACAGAGATTTAGGGTTTAGGGTTTAGGGTCTGTTGTATCCATGGATTATGGGTTTTTTGAAGGGGTCCCGCGAATAGCGAAGTGAGCATGTGGGACAGTCTTTCGGAGTCCGAGTTTCTGTGTTGATGTGTTCCGGGAGCATAAAAGATACCGATTGTGAGTACCAGGCCAAATGTTGCCCCCTTTTATGTAAGAGCTTGGCCTTGGCATGGTATGGCAATGAAACCACAGTTGCGTAATCCCTTTCCCTTAAAAAATGCAGCCCCATCTGGAATGACACGCATCTGCCGGACGGAAATCTTGTTCATTTTTCGGGAGATATTGCTTGTAACACAGATACGTGGCAATGAATTTTGCTTTCCCGAAAAGAAACCATTTCCCACCAAAAAAAAGCTCTTGCCTTGAAGTTTTGTTGTGCCATTTTAGTGGTAATTACAGATACAAGGCCTTCGAAAAAAAACGGAAGATCTAGCACATGAAGGAACATGATTAATTCTGTGCAGAGTCGTGTGCATTTCTTCATATTATTTGCCTTCATCAAGTGTTTATGAATTCGATTGTTTCTTCGAAGCGCTCCTTAGTACTGCTACTCGAATCCCTGGCACAACATCCCCATTCCAGGAGCCAGGCCTCCTGAAGCATTCTCGATTATCAAGCTTACTGTGCCTTATTGGGGTTATATGTGGAAAATGGAAAAGAAAATGGTAACTACTATTTAGGGTTTAGGGTTTTAGGGTTCAGGGTAATAATACACATATATAGTCAGTATATAGGGAGTATGTTCCTTCAGTCCCCACTAACAATCTGTAAGCAAGAGTGGTTTATCAGTAGCTAATCGGATTCAGATGAGTGAGCTGTGACAAAGGAGTTGCTGCTGTTTTCACATGAAATGTTACCAAGGACCTTGCCCGGTTTCCAACGGCTATAGGGATTATGAGGAATGAGGAACTTGGCTTGCCGTGTTGGGCCTAATGAGATAAAGACAAATCTGAAGGCTTAAGCCCATACATTGCGATGCTTTCCGAAAGAGGCTGCCGTGGACCGGATCATCCGTTCCACCAGACCTCAAGACAGGACCCGCCGCGTCAGGGGAAAGAAGTGCGATTTCAAAACGTGCAAGGTCAACTGCTTACAGGCAGTATGTCAGGAACGCAAACTTTAGGGGTGTCTGTGCCCTAGCTGCGTGTGGATGGCCGTCCGCAAGGCATTTTTGCACGTGCCTGCAGGATGTGCCTTTGTTCAATCGCAACTGAACTGATTAGGCCTTTGCTTGTTCTGGTTGCAAGCCTCGATGGTGGAAATCCCCAAGCAACCCAGCACTTCTGAAATAATGAATAGCCGTCAAACCATGTCCGTATCGAACCCATTCTTTATGAGTTCATGTCTAGAACCAGACATATTGGGGTCTGTGATCCTTCCATCTCTCCCTACTATGGCTCGTGAGGATCCATCTGATTTCCTGCCACAGCTTCGCAAGACTGGAGTTCCAGCATGGCAGCATTGCCCAGAAGGCACAAACCCTAATGCAGGGTTGAGGTGCACCATGGTTCAGCTGCGAAGAAGGTTAACATAGTTTAACGTTTGGGCGGTTGGACGCGTATTTGAGGATTTTGGAAGGTGCCATGTGTTGTTGTTTCTGTCTTGGTGTAAGACGAACCTGAAGATAAGCTGTAGTGACGTCAAGGCGTGTGGTCAAACATGGTAATGATGTTCTTGAACGAGCCACTTGCAAGTACGCGATGAACGGCACAGCAATGGCAATATGCATCCATAGTCAAAGCGGCCCGGCCATGTTGGGCCTGTCAAAGGTAAGGGGTCCGTTCGGAGTACCAGTCATAGTGCAGGCTCGTTGGAGCACAACATCGGTGTTGAAAACTACTTATCATGTGCTCAAAATGAATCCAGAGTCTGGCTGCCAGGATCAGCTTCTTGACAAGCTGCGTCAGCTGTCTGCCAAGACCATGACGAAAGAGAGTCAGCGTCCCAGTGCACTTTATGTGAAGTGATAATGTGTACCGTATGCTCAGTTTGGCAATCATGGGGTCTTCCATACAACTTCAACAACAACATATGATGGTCCTCACTTGTGGATGCTGAGGGCAGGCCGCGGTGCTGCTGCGCCAGGGAAGGGTTTAACAATCTGTAAAGGCTTGGTCCAGTGTGAAGGGCTAACGTGAGGGTTCAGGGTCAGAGGGCTTGTGATGTATCATGTCGCGTTCGAAGTCGGAATGACCAGAGATTGCGGCATCCACGGCTTACTGCCATTTGACGGAGCAGCATCTCAGAAAACAGGCTTGTTGCCAAAGAGCTGCTGCTATTCGTCAGAGCTTTCACCGTCAATGCGCAGCCTGCACAGGACAGATCGATGGAAGCCTGGTCGACCAGGCGCACAGCAGATCTGCACGAGAGAGAACAACTTGGAAAGGGGTAGTGGGCAGATGATATTCGAAGCATACCTAGGGATGCACTACAAAGGAATCAGATTTCCAGATTTCGAGTCAGCTGAGTGCTGGGGAAGTTGTATTAGATCAAAGGCTGCAAGGAACATTTCGCTTGTCCTTGTGCGGAGATTCCATGAAAAGTGAGTATACATCTCCGGAGCGCAGGTTTTTGTACAGGATGCAGGGATCATGGACCGTGAGAGCGGTTGGGTCATGGAGTGCGGGCTTTCATACAAGGCCGATAGAGAGGTATCCCATTCTTTACCTCTAGCTTCTCCTTAGCACAGCCATTCTTACCACAGCCCCCCGCCTCCAGCTCCTGCCAGGATATCAGCAACATCAGTGATGGTCTGCGATATGCCGAGCCGGCACCTTAGAGCCAAGCTGCAGATCTGGAGAAGTAAGAGGGTATATATTGGGTTTATATAGGGCTTATATTGGGGTATTGGGGTTTATATAGGGATAATGGAAAAGAAAATGGAAACTGCTATAGTATATTGGGGTTATATTATCATGACTAGTATCTTCATGTCTCGTGCTTGGGGCTGGGGCCCGACCTTACCTTCTCTCCCTGCATCAAGCACTGATCATGTTCGAGGGTCTTTGCCTAATCTAGCTCTGCAGTTGGACGATTGTTGAGTATGGATGTTTGTGACACACGCGGGTAAAGGCACATTCTCGTGGGCCCCCTGGCTACGCCACGGGTGAACACAACGCGGTACTGCCGACTGAGATGTTGAAAGCTGTTTTTTCTTGATTGCTTAGCGAGGTTGATTTTATCAGATCACTCGAGGTGTAGTCCTCTGTCCTGTGTTGCCAGGAGGGCAATGCTTTTTTCTGATGGCTTGTTCACTGGACGATTCTCACGCTGTGCCTCGTCTTAAAAGTTGTGTTGCGTTCTCGGCGGAATTTTGGCAGGACAGCGCAGGGTTTGAAGCATGTAGCTATGTCGTACGTACGGTGCATACGTACGGTGCATTTACACGAAGCAGGCATGTGTAGCGAATGCGCAAATTGCGCGCGCTCAGATGCACCCACCAAATTTTCCTGTGGCCTCTATCCGAGTTCAGTGCCGCAGGCGTAGGTGATTCATTTCCTGGTTAGCAGCTAGTTTCAGGAGTTCTTTTTGTTGGCTTATTTAGGGGTTAGATAGGGATAATGGAAAAAGAAAATGGAAACTACTATTTAGGGTTTAGGGGTTCCCAAAATTAAGGGTACTTTTCTCCGATTTTGGCCTCCTTCGCCTCTTATGCGCTCTGCACTTGCTCAGACGACACATTCTTCGATGCTATCGGAGCTGCGAAGATGGCTGGAGCACCTTGGATCCCCCCTTAATGGAGAATCAAATGGAAAAGAAAATGGAAAATGAAATGGAAACTGGGATTATATTGGGGTTATATCGGGATAATGGAAAATCCCATGAAACTACCATGGTATATAAAGATAATGGAAAATGAGATGGAAACTACTACACAGTATATAGGGACAATGGAAAACTACATGGAAACTGCTGTAGTATATTGCCTTCACTACGAGCCACTCAGGAGTCATCTCCGCCTTAGAAGAGAGGAGCGGCCTGATTTGCTCTTCGTTGTTATCATCAGCACGTTCATCATCGTTATCATTATGATACGGGGGTTTCCCAAAATTAGGGCTCCCTTTTTTTGGGCGTACCTATAATAAGGACTATAGTATTTGGGGTCTATATTGGGCTCTCCGTATTTTGGGAAGCTACCATAATATATGATGATTGTCATCAGCGTTTTATCTTCGCCATCTTCATGTAGCAAGTTGTGGATATCTGGAACATGGAAATTGAAATGGAACCTAGTATGGTACATAGGGAATGGCGTTATCGCTCGTTTGTTTTGTCATGTTGTCAGTGTAGGCCCGAAAAGTTTGCATGTGAGCTGCAGTCCCAGTTTCGATGTGGTGGAGCATTATGTCTCAGCTACCCTTGCACGACGGGAAAGGGGGAGTTCTGAAGTCCGGGTCGCCCAGTCAAGTTTTGGCAAACTTGTGTGGGGGGGTCGTTTCGGGCCCTGCCAATAAACTTTCCATCGCCGGGGATCCTTCCGGCTCTCAATTTGGTGAAGAGCTCGCTCTGTTCCGAACCCATTGTTATCAATCCGTTCAGCCAAAAGTTCGCTCTGTTACAAACCCATTTACTAATCAGACCCCAACATTCACAGTACTGAACACTGCGTTGTTGCACTCCGCAGTAGCAGCATTGCTCGCAATGTTATTGTGGAAGTGCTAACAGTAAAGGGAAATAGCGGAGAGAGCATTGCACACACGTCAAATCGTGCAGACCTCAGTTTCGGCAGCATCAAAGAATGGACCATCGTTTTTCTGAGACAGTTATGACCTCATGACTTAAGAGAGCTACACAGTAGAAACAGTAGTAATTAAGACGTTTAAAGATAACAATAGTCTAATTTTTAATAACGATAGCAATGAATTGTTACTATTCGTATTATTCGTATTGTTCACCTTCCAGTTCTCCACCTCTGTGGTTGGCCTCGGCACCGGGCGAGCTATGAACCGATGGCTTCTTGAGGAAGCAGCCCAGGCAGGTGGCAGCGGAGCTCTTTTCTTATTGGTTGGTAGTAGGGAATGGAGGAATGGATCCCCATAGAAGCCCTACACCTTATACCCTAAACCCTAAACCCTAAACCCTAAACCCTAAACCCTAAACCCTAAACGCTATAATCCCCAATAAGATGGCAGCGCCTAAAATCTCCACCACTCCTTCCTTTCCTACTGACAACCAATTTCTTTTGGAGCTTGCAGCAACAGTTGTAGTTAGGAGTGGAAACTGCGGCCGTTGTAAGGCTTGAAGTGGGAGTAGCAGGAGTAGTACTGGTTGTAGGGATAGGAGAAGTAGCGGAAGGAGTCAAGTGAAGATTTGTCATTTGGGGGGACGGCCTGGTCTTTGAGGCCATGACGGTATGTACAGAAAACATGCGAACGTCATGTAAACAAAGCATTCGGTACTGTATGGAAAGGTCTGCTTAGATAGTTTAAGTTCGGATGATTGCAAAGCGTCGGCGCAGTAGCACAAAGTAGCAAGCAGCAGAGGTATTGCTGCTCAGAGGCGTATAATAGACATGCACTCGGGGTGGACGGCGGGCTGAGGCATCAGCGTGTTTCAGCCTTTTGTATTTAGCCACGGTGGAGGACATGCTGGATTTTCGGCATGCAGGCCCAACGGCGACACAAAGTTTCACTTATACTGGAAGGCCCTGCAAGCTTGGAACGGCACCATGCAACGAACCACTGCCTTCCCCCAAGCAACGACTTGATGTTCCTTGCACTTTCTCACGTTAATTACTCTGGCTGTTCTTACTCGGAGTATTGAATCCATGGCTGTTTTTCCAACTCCTGTCGGCAACTCGTTTTTTTAGTCAGAAGAGCAATCAACATTGTACCGCCCTCACAACTGTCATCGTTTTCTGTCGTTACTGCATTCACTCGGCCACTTGATGCACGGATCCCCTGGAGCTCCAACAGGCTGGTCACGGTGAGTTTCTCGCCCTCTCTAGTCCAGCATCGTTTGAGCAGGCCATACCGTGATTTGTGAAGGCTGGGGCTTCAGATAAAGAACAGCAACATCTGTCACTTGTCCTCCTACCCCTGTTACTGCTACCAGTGGTACGGCTAGTAGGCCTTAGAAGCCGCATTTTCACTGTGAGTGTTAGCCAGTTGAAGCCTTGGGCTTGGAGTTTGCGGTTTGCTTTCATGTCAGCACCTGTAGCCGCTGTAGCCTGTGGTGATGAAGGCCGTCGTGGTTTTACCCAGCATTGTAATGTTGCTGTTCATTGCAACAGCCGCGTAAGACTAGTGTTGGTTGTGTGAGGGAGAAGTCTTAAGGAGATGCATAGGTGTGACAGCCAAAAATGTCAGGAAGAATGTTGTGAATGACTCGGGGGGCCATCGCAATAGTATTTAGTAGGAAGTGCAGAAGTGCACGTAACCATATTTGACTGGCTGTGATATTGCAGCCGCGGTGATCAACTGAGGTTACACAAGCAACACATGTTATGGGCGTAAAGGCTGTGGAGCACAAAGAGCTCGCATGATCACTAGCAATAGTGGCAAGAACGGAAGCACAATCATCAACAACAATTATGTCCCATTTGCAGATTTGGCTCGCAGAAGGTCCTGCACAGCATAAGGGTCTCCATGTAGGATCTTTGGCCCAAGTACCTGAGGGTAGGCTCAGATCTGATTAACTCTTTTTGTTGCAATGGGGCTTCTTGCAGCCATGTGTCCAACCTGAATATGCAAAATCGAAGGACTTCGACCATGGAAAGTCATGGTTGAACAAGTTTTTCGTATTCAGGTTGCTGAAGTTGTTCGGGCTTTTTTTGATTTGGGGTTGTGTAGTCTGGCTGATTTACTGACAATCCCCACACCATAGTTGTTATCCTTTTTCTGACAGCATACAAAATACTTGTGTGGCATTGTTAGGTGTCGCATCAATTCCTGATACCCCATCTGCAACAGTATCAGCAACTTGTTGCAATTCTGAGGCCACATCACAACCTCCTCCTCCTCCTGCTACTGCTACTATTACTACTTCCCACTATTGATCTTTTCTGCTGCTGCTTGTGCTGCTGCTGGCCTTGGCATATGGGCACAGTCGTACATCATGACTACCCAAGCCTCCCTAAGTGAAGGTGATTGCTGCTGCTGGGCCAGGCCATTTCCCGAAGCTCGACTGTGGCCTTAGAGTATTTAGGATTCAGGGTTTCAGGGTTGTAGGGTTCTCGTCTGTGCCTTTAGGCTTGGGGATTGAAGGTTTTGTGCTTCTTGGCTTAGGGTTCGTGTCTTTGGAGTTTCAGGGGGAAGGTTCAGAGGAGGGCCTGTGGTTGCGGTTTCAAGGCTTGCCCCGGAGTTTGGACCAGAGGACTAGCAATCATGGCCAAAGCACATTCAATGCTAAAGTAATTTCAGCAATGGCGTGTAATCACAGTGCTTGCAAGTGCTAGTACTGGTGCAAAGGACTTTTGTGTAAACATATACACACACTGATATGGGTGGTTGTCAAGATTATGGTCCCTTTCTGGGTACCCTAAATATTCCGTATGAACTAGCTGCCGCCGTAAAGCCACAGCAATCTGGCATGCTTCGGTGGTGCATCAGGAGTTCCTCTGGTCTAGCTGAAAAGCACGCATCAAGCAATGATAATATATTACAAGTATTTAGCCGCAAGACCGAGATAAGCTACCATTCAAGATGTTCGAATAGTCAGGGTTGGAGATATTCTCATGTAGGACTTCTGAGAGCACTGTGATATGTCATGTAGATATAGCTACAACACCAGCTGGTGACAGTACGAACAGTACTGTCAACTAGTCCAGCAACTACGGAGTTAACTCCCTCTATACTAGCAGAAGCTTGAGAAAAATCAGCAGAAGGAAGAAGCAGCGATATGCAGGCAATTGCAGTAGTTGCTGAGTAAATGCTGTCACCATGTGACCGGTGTTTTTGCGAACCCTTCATTGAAGCTTCTGAAAAACTGCTTTGGTTCTGCATTTCCTGAAGGTTGGAGTTTTGTTGTGCCGACTGAGCAATTTTCCTCGCTGGAAGCTGCCCATGCGTCAGGGCTTTCAGACTCTTGCGCTTGCACAAAGCGCTTCATACCCTTGAGCTTGTTTTGCCAAACATGGGCTTCGCCAGACCAGCCTGAAGTGTCTTGATGGTTTGTTGCAGAACAACATGCTGCTCCTAGCCGCATCTGCATCGTCCGGCCATGTTTCTCGGAGGGATATACAGGGCAATGTAGGGACAATGAGTTGGGTGGGTTTGCACACCATAGTAGCGATTCAGGTTCTATTCGCATTTTGCAAACGACTTCACTCAGCATTTGAAAGCCCGAAATCGCAGTTCATGACATGCGGTGCACACGTTCCCTTTGAGGACGTATGCCTTCGACGTGATGCTTCGCCTTTCCATTTCCCACAATGCTCGTCTAGTTCGAAGCTATGGGCACAGGCTGGGTAGGGACATAGGACGACTTGACCCAGTGTGTTTCAGTGCGCGTGCCATACACTTGTTCTTGTATTTCCTCTTTCGCTTGCAACGTGAGGCGACGTGGCGGCCATCGAAGCGACTCGGATGAAAAAGATTATGGAAGTTGGATATATGGAGTTGGGTGTGTAGCTGGACCTCCCACTACTTTGGATAAGTCATGATGCCTTGCGTCGGCGGATTGCGTCCTGTTATCCTGACGTACAAGCCAGGGTAGCTCTGAAAAGACTCGCGGTTGAACATAGTTGAATCCTGATAGGGCCTTTCATTGGAGCTTC